GTAACACGGTTGCAGATCGGGGTGACAGGTTTACCGACGCGATGTAACGGCAATCAGCGGTTATCGTGGCAACGACGAGATTACTGGAACAGACATACTTTCGGGGTGAGATCTGAATTATTTAATAGCGACCAAGTAGCGCGTATCATTTCGCACGTGTAATTTCTGCCGTAATGAATAATGTATTGGCGACGCGAAAAAAAGTAACTTACTAAAACAAGAGGAAAAGAAGATTTTGCGAACGGTTTCACGCAGTTAGTATGTTGATTAATCCTTAATTTATATACTACTAAACTTTATACGTTCCTTCTCTCATTCTCTCTCTCTATCTTTTACACACATTTAATTTGAAACGAGCAACTTTTACGTTGGTAAAATATCGAGCGTAAGTTTTATATTAAACGAAAGAAAAGACTGCGAACATTTTAGCGCTAAATGCGCGGCGGGAATACCGCTTCCGATGGTCGAGAGAGATCGGAGCCCCTTACAATCGTGCGTTTTTACGAGCAAGACGATCCACAATGTAACCGGTTGTTGCGACGATAAAACGCACGACGGGATCGCGATATTTTACTGCCGCCGACGGCAGCCCAATTATGATCAATTTAACTGCGCGGAGAGTATTTCTTTCTGACGGATCCGCGATCGCGCGCAAACATCACAGGCTGCTTTAAAAGCTAACAAGAGCTCCGATCGATTCATTTTTCTCGAATCGAAGAGACACAGTATTAAATCAACGCGTCAGATAGACGAGAAGATTCGTCTCCTCGCGTTCAACAGTGCGAAAATAAAGCCACAAAATCCGGTTAAATAATGCCGGATGATGAGTAATAAAGTAAAACGGAATTGTGTCACATCACTCCGTTCGGATGATCTCGTTAGTGAATGACTAAAAGCGTTTCGCTATAATACTCGGGTTAAACCGGCGAATTTCTCTACACAGGAGGCGTGTCACGTGTCCGTGTCTAACATATAAGTCTTACGAGCGAGACTTGAAACGGCGCAACGTCGAATCGCGTGTCCGCGCGCGCCGGCGAGCTCGCAATTTCGAGTCGTTTAGATTTCCAGAAGTACCGCAATTTCTCCGCCGCCGAGACCGCCGGCCGTTGCGACCGGCGTCTTTTTTTACCGCTCTCACGGAACGAGCTCCCGTGAACATAATCGGCCGTTTGTCACGCTCGCGACGGAGGAGGAAGAGGAGAAGGCGAAATTTTTGCCCAAAGACTGGTTCGACGCGAAAAACGCGATTAACGAAAGTGTCGCTTCGCCCCCCCCTCCCCCCCGCCCCCTTCTTCCTTTACTCGATAAAAATATACATCGAATATACTCTCGGCACGAGATGTTATCGCATCATCTCCTGATTATAATTTTAAATTACGTTATTTAATCGATCAACTCACCCATGTATACGTGTATACATGTAAGATGTATACTTGTAAGATCACTACAAATCATCTTAAAAGCTAAAAAAACTAGAAGAGTATAGACAAATGAATAGCGTATATATCTCTGGTATAGACATAAAGAAGACATATATCTTATATATCTATGTATATATATATAATATATATATATCTTTAGTATCTCACATTTTGTCGGCCGGCGAAAGTTCCTCGAGATACGCTATGGAAAACATTGGCTAAATATTCACTTTTCCCTCACCGCGAGTGAATGATTCACTCGGGGATGATTACTCGAGAGTGATTCGCGTTGGATTCGCGGCACCGGTAAGCCGTATAAGCGTGTATCTCTCATTGCACCCCCGAATTAACGCGCGCCCGCTTTTTTCCCTCGCACTTCCTCGTCGCGTCGCTCGACGCGCGTTCGCCGTCACACGCGGAACGTGCCAAAGAGACGCGCGAACGAAACGGTTCGGAACTGGTTCAACGAAGTCGGCCGTTGCGCGCGCCAAACGAACAATGCGAACTTGTGAAGAGGGGCAGGACGAGCGAGTGAGGGAGGAGAAAGAGGAGAAAGAGGAGAAAAAGGAGAAAGAGAGACGGTGACGCGGCGCACGTGAAAGGCGATTTAAAGGGAAAAAGGAGGAGGTGGCCGCGATAAAAAAAAAGGAACGCGCAGAGAAAGAGAGAGAGAAATAGAAGAGCAGGGAGGGGGTGGACGAGCATGGCGAACCCGTCGCAGCCTCCGCTCGTCAGCTGGAAGCTCAGCTGCAGCCGGGCGCGGTGATCTCGACGTTGCAGAGCGCGCGGCGGCGGCGCTTCACGGAAAAGCGAGTCGATTTGCGAGCGATAACGGTGCCATGACAGTCCTCCCTCGTCCTGCCGTTTCCCCACCTCCGAAGAGCTTCCGCGATACACGATCGGATCAGATATAATAATATAGCGTACTTTAAACTACGCACGATATATATAGTCGAACGATATCGTGTAATAAAATTGAGATACAATTAATAAAACAAAAAAGATTGTCGCGCTTTTATAATATGATATCGCAAGTAATAGAAAAAAACTGATCATTATTTATATATGATAACTATATTTATATATATGACTATTATAATAATTATACTTCTAGTATATATAGATATAGTAGATGGCTTTGCGGAAGTAACTCTATTAATTTCCTTTTAAACGACTGTTGATTCTATGTTATTCTTCTTTTTTATTTTCTGTAAAATAAAATTACTCGCTCGAATAATTACTACTCGTGTATTGTAATCGCTTTTATTGCTCGCATGCACACTTTGCTTTTCCTGTTGTATGTTTTACATTTAATACTCTGATATAGCAGTTTTTTTTTGATATTCTCACATAACAGATATATTTTTTATATTTGTAATTTATATCGTAGTTGATAGATTTTATTTTAAAAAGACCATCCCAAGAAGAAAATAAATATGTATCTATCTACCTATCCATCTATTCTCCTAAAAGTCATTAATGTGACTTTTATCAATTTTTAACATGATAATTACAGTTATCCGACCAAAAATTAATATTCCGTTAAATATCTATATAATAATCTAATATCTAAAGCATCTAAATAAAAAATATGATTCACACGCAGAATCATTTAGTTTGAATAGTTTATACGCAGTAGTGACGGGAGAGAGATACTTTGTATAATTAAATCTTACAATAAGAGGGTTCAGAATTAAATTTGCGCAATGTACGGAGCCGTTCTCGGCAATGCCTCTCAAGAGTAGCATAAAGACGAGCTACTTTAGAATGAATGACATTACATGAGATTACTTTGGTCCTCGGCGGATTATTTTACGTTATCCTCAGCGAGAGATCCATAATGAGATTTCACGACTAGAGCTAGACGACTAACAAGTAACGAATACATACGACGAGTACACACGATTATTCTAGCTCTTTGTAAATTCGATTCGCACCTTTGTTCGATGGTCAAAGTTACACGCGAATGGTGAATGAAGGCTCCCATCTATGCAATTATTAGCGCAATTTAAACACGGATTAAACACAATTTAATGGAATAACTCTTCGCTCCGCGACTTTGGAAGGAACGAAATAAATTTATGGAGATTTCCAGAAATATTTAGAAAAAAATCTTCTCTATTTTGTACGTGAGTATTCTTCGAATACGATAAATCGAGTGCGCTAATATTTCACACAACGCAATAGAATCCAACTAGAAGCGACTACTAGTTTGTATTTTACCGTTATTATTCGTTATAAGATTCTGGCATACTGAATAATTCTCGCATCATCGTTTCATCCATTACTTTATTAAATCTGCATGTCTGATTATAAAAGTTTCGTCTTATAAGTACGCTTGAGAGATGATTTTCCTTTCCGAAATGAGGTACCGATTTCTCCGCGATTGTTCCTTTCTAATAGAGTATCAATCGGTTACCATGCGATGTGACATCGTCGTCGAGGTCAACACCGGGAATCGAGGCGCCGCGAGAATCTTGCGAGGTGAAATCTCTTGCCAATGTATCACGTACTCGTACGAGAGGGCGAACAATCATTCCTGTTCTTGACAGAAGCGTAAAAGGTACAATTATAATGATAGGATGATAGATATACTTTTTTTTATAATGTATTATACACGTACTTTTTTTTATAAAGCTGTCACGCGTTATGTAATATATTAATAAAATGAGATATTTATCATTGACATATTTCTCAAATTTAAATTATTTTTCAAAGATTAATCTATTGATCTTATCAATATCGCTCGCGCAAATTTTCAAAAGGATTCCTTTAGAAGAGTCGCGAACGTCCCTGCTTGAAAAGTTTTGACTGAGGTGAGTTCAAAATCAGTAATTAAAGGATGGATCCTTTATCGCGGAACAGAATTTTAATAATCATAACAATTTTGAGAACAAAAAAATAACTAGATTTTTACGAGTAACAAAAAAATGATATGACACATTTACTTTTGAAAGCTTTAATCGAATAGCTTCGAATAGAGATTAATGGCTATTGTCACAAACTGTCGAACTTGAGCTCGCGAGCCGATTCGTCAGGAAATACGAGAACGTTCGATTCCGCCCGACCTCGGTTAGCGCTAATCCTAGTTAACCGAATCCTCTTCCCCCTTCCCGTTTTGTATTTTCGATACGAGAACAAGGTCGAAATGATCCCGTCGCCGTCGACGAGATCACCATTACTAATCATTAAGCACAAATTTCTCCCTCCCGTGTAAATTACATGCAATTACACGCAATCCAAAAATCGGGAGCGAATCTCGGGATTTAGCGCTCTAGAATAAACCGTGAGAGACTGTCACTGTCAGCTACGAAGCACGACGAACGCGTACGAGCGCTCATCACGTCCGCAGGAATCGACCGCAGGAGGCAGCGAACCGGTCGGTCGGTGCATCAGCTGAGAGCCCAGCTGAACCCAGAGAGAGCGGCCGCTGTAATATAACCTCAACCTATCTCCCTCTTTCTCCCTCGCATACACACACATACACATTCAAACTCACATATGATAGAGGCACGCATACACTCACGGGGAATTTCGTAAAGGCGCCGTTGACCGGCTGATAATGATTGAACACGATACCTGGTTTGATGTCCCGACGTATCGACGATGGACGTTCGCGAAAACTCGCCGGCGATGCCGCGAAACTTTTCGAAAGCCCACTCTCACACAATGGAATCTTCCAGTAGACTGAGAGCCGGCAGCGAGCGAGCGGTGCGAGCTGTTCTACCTTGCGTGCGCACCCACCGTGCGCGGCGGCGGCGGCGGTTCGGCTTTTTCGACGGGGGAGAAGAAAAACAAAAGAGAGAAATGACGCGATTTCGAGACGCGATCGCTCGGTGACGGATGGGACACGTTCACGAGTCACGTTACACGGCACTGGCACGATACGTCACGTCGCGTCACGTCGCGTTTACTTGCTGCACGGGAAACGCGAATACGGTACGGACGACGCGCGCGATACCCGCCGTGATGACAGTTCGAGCTCGCGAGCTGTCACTCCTCGAGCTCGAGCGGCCCCGACGGTGATCCGCGTGCGCGCGCCGCTTGCGCTGCGCCATCTGTTGCCGCCTAGGGAGAAACGGTTAGCCGATGGCCGTCGCGGCGGTAGCGGCGTCCACGAACCGCCTAGCAACAAGATCGATAGACTCGCTTCTTATCGCGCGCACCGAGCGGTATCTTAGGTATCCGCGCAACATGATATGTTCTAGGTAAAAAACTGTGAAACCACGAAAATATAGAATTTCCTTAGATTTAGATTTCGATGCTGTAAATGTTTATAATGATAGAAAGACAGCGTGTTAATTGTCGTCTTGTTTCGTATCGAGAGTTAATCAACAAATATTGATCTCAATCTTGCTTTTGTAGATTTTGTGTTATGTATATAATTATTAGTAACGCGCGCGTGATCCGAACATATTATTGAGAATGCGAAAATAGAGTATCGGTTGTAGAATGCTGTTAATTGTGGAACGATAACACGCGTGTACGTTAAGTTGGCGATGATCGTGCACTCTAATCGCGAAAAAATAACGGCGTGAATTTCGCGAAGAGAATTTCAATTGATTTCAAATATGTAGAAGCGCGAATTGTCGATACTAAAAACGGCGTGTAATAACGATTGTACGTACGGTATTTATGTTACACTGACAACACTTTTTATGAGACACTTCCGATAATACTACGCACGCGATGAGACTCAATTGTTGGACGCGTAAAAATACAGAGTGACCTGAATATGGTCGACAATTCAAAATTTGTTCGTTTTAATTGTACTCAATATGAAGTGAGAAACGTTCAGTTTTCTCTTCCCCCCAAGTTGCCCCCCCCCCCCCCCCCCCTCTCTCTCTCTCACTCTGTAGAACGAGAAGCCAAAAAAGTAAGAACAGAAAGAGAGAGAGAGAGAGAGAATAACAAAATGTTTTACAATTAGTAAATATTAGAGATGATTAAAAACCAGTAAATGATTGCGAATTTTGATTGATACAGCAAATTACAGAACGATGTGTACATACCTAATGACGACATATACGATGATCGTGCATCGATTGTATTTACATTTTGTATTTCGAAAAAATAACCCCAAAGATGATTTCGCTCGATCTTGTAGAATCGCTTGATATTGACGCACAACAAAAACTGTGTATATATGATGTTTACTTTAGCGGGACACTCCCGATAATTCTTTTGTGCGCGAGATTCCACTTTAAAATAGTAACTATCGCGAGAAATACGGAACGGCTCGGATGTAACTCCGCGACCCGCCGCGACATGTTTCGTGACTGATTTCGTTACGAAGTTCGTTGAAGTGCATACAGTTATACAGTATTGCAATTCTCAAGAATTTGATCGAACCGATCAAAAAATTTGCATTTCAATCATAGTGGAATTACTCAAGATGTAAAATAAAATACAGAATATTTTAATAATACCACAGAAATAATGTATTAATGTTCAAAATATATTTGAAGTAATTCTTACTATATATATATTTTTTTTTTGTAAATGATAGTAAAATATCGGAGGTCGCGTGCGCGGTAGAATTTAAATATTTGAAACTTATTTATTTATCATTTTTATTAATTGTGTCTAAATAAACTGTATAATTTTTTATCCGTTTCAAAATATTTGAGACAATGGTGAAACTCTATAGAATAAAACAAAAAGAGAAAAAGAGTCTTTATATACAATCGTATTATTGCTGCCAAGTTCTACAAAGAATACAATTTTGAAATAAGATATTTTTTCTAAAAATAATATCATTTAAAAATATTATTGTTGAATTTTAGATATGAGCAGAAATATATATGTTTTCTCTAAATCTTTTGAATTTTTTAAAAATGGTTAAAATTTTACATACAATTAATAACGTATTGAGACAAACTTCTTTTAAAAAAATTACTATATATTAATTAACATAAACAAAACTCTATTAAAATAAATCAATCTTTTGCTAACTTTTATTATAACAACTTGATTTCTTGTGTACAAAAAAGAGCATTTACAATATGCAACAACTTTTCATTTTGCAAACGCGTTCCAATTACGATTTCATTTAATAAATAATATCATTTTTCACATTTTATTTTGTCGATAATCCGTCTCTTTCGTAGTTCTTTCTCTTATTGTACTTGACAAGCATACGTTCGTCAAGTACGTATATTTATTTTCCTAAAATGGCACACGCGCACAGACGTTTCCCGCATTGTTCGGTCAATCGATACCCCTATCGTTTTGACACCTTGTGCAAGATCGATACAAGCATATCCTAATGTAATTCCGTAACGTTTAGATTGATTTCAATCAACACCTGTACAATATATTACAATCCGATACAAGTATTGGAATTGATGTTGATGGATACTAACAGAAAGTTATAACGATATTGTGATTTAGAATCTGCTGGAATATTTCTATGCTTATCGACAATTTGTATATTGTTTTACCATGATAATAATAACTGCGACAACAAACGGACGCTTTAGTGTTTTCACGATTATTGTAATCGCTTCTGGAGTCTTTGCGCGATAGCAGCGATGAGCGCGGCGCCCTTGCCGCTTCCATCTTCCGCGTGGATTAATTTGAACTGCACATTCAAAAAATAAATAAATTATTATACTAAGAAAAAAAGAACTTTCATCAAAATGATGGAAAAGCATAAAAGAATTCACGTAGCAAAAAATTATTATTTTCTATCTTTATAAAGAGAGAAAATAAAAAATATAAAATTATATATTAATGTTAGAGATAGCGCATTTAGAATTTTGAAAGCAGAACTTTGTGATGACATCAATTATTTTCTCTCTGTTTTTATAGCTACACAATGATGTTTTTCTAAGCGCAAGCGACTTTCCCATTGATACCCGTTTTATCTATGTACCTGTCGTCCCGAGGTGAGTAACGAGATATACCGCTTCATCCAACTCTCTAATCGAGGATGATGTTTGTAGAGAGATCCATCTATGGCAATCGTGACTTGTTCCTTATCAATACGGTCCAGCAAACTCGCGGTGCCTTCGACAAAAATCATCAATGAGATATTATCTTTGTATCAAGCGCAGTTTTTAAGTAATTTTATTAACGTACATATCGATACCAATAGAGCCGCGCGATTAGAGGCGACCTCGCACACATATTGAACGACTTTGATATCGTCCTCATCCGGAATAATGCCAAATTTCTTGAGAACCTCCTTGGTATTGCTATTATCACCGTCCACAGAGTCTCTGGAGTCGCAAAACGATAAACATGTGACACGCCATAAATCTTTACGGATTAAGCGATTGGAGATTAAGACTTACTGTTCGATGTGCGACACCAAATCGGTAGTAAGGGAGCCGGGTGTAAAAAGTCTGTGTAGTGCAGTTTCTCCTACAAACAAAAGCCCCTCTTTGGTCAACTTCGCAAGTATCACGCGCACCACTTCACCGAGATATTTGCCAGCAATGTACTTTTCAAATCTAAAGAAAGAAGCCATAATGATACAAAGATTTTTTTAGATACGAACCATCGCGTCCTAGGAACTAATTTTGTCGCGAGAGAGAGTCCTTCTAATATAAGGTTTCTTCGCGCATCTTTCTCTAAAATTCTTAGTTTATATAATATTATGAGGAATTTTTCGGAAAAATGTTATTTATCATTATTATTCTCCGTCATCGTTATTTATCTATTCATTAATAAAAACGTCAATTATATTAATTATTAAATCTTAATTATAGTCATTTTTAATTAATTAAGCTTGATATCCAAAATCTTAATTTTTTTCGTATAGATAAACCGATAGTGACAAACTCTGATTAAAATATGATATTATCAGAAATAATATCCACTCTATGCGTGCGCACAAACAGAATAATTACAACATAATTAGAGATAATGCAACGAGATTTATTCACTTACGTAAACGAATTCACGATAAGAGAATTGGCGTCGTTCTCGCGATCGAAATCCGTTTTGATGAAGTCCAAAACACCGTTGTCGCCAAAAGCGCCCCACTCAATATCAATGATAACCTGGAGTGACGAAAGTCAGACTAATAATTTGCGGCTGCATACCAAGTATATAATGTAAAAAATTATTAAATAAATATAGGAAAAATTATTTAAAATTTCAAGGTAAACTTTGTTGCTTTTTAAAAATATCTTTATCAAATAAAGAATAAAGATCGATCTCAAAAAATTGTAACATACATTTTTATATATTTTATACGTTATCGTGATATCGGTTACTCACTTCTCTCTCGCCGTGCCTCTCGGGTTCCCAATGCTCGACCCGGTCGGCTCGTTCTAGATAGCAAGCATTGCTGCCGGTTCCCAGGATAAGTCCGATCGCTACATTGGAATCCAACGTTGAGCCCTGTACCAAGGTACCCGTGGTATCGTTCAAGACTGCCACGACCTTCACCTTCGTATCGGCTCGACGGTCCAGGGCCTCTCGCAAGAGCTTAACGATGTCCTTATTCACGACATCGGGACAGTTGAAAGTCTTGGTCCATGTCACGAGAATACCGACATCCAGCGAGTGCTGGATTATCGGAAACGAGAATGTGAAACCTGCATAGATGTGGCTTATCAAAATTGGAAGTGGAAAGAACGTGAAGTGCGGAAATAATCCGAAGTGTAAATAATTATACTAATGTAACTGGTTATATTAATATATAATCTTTCTGTCAGTTTTCTACAACAGAAAAGAATTGTTTTCTCTTCGCAGTTTCTTCGATGATCTCTTCGCGAGATCGCTATTTATAGACAATTGTGAGGTGGCTCTCATTTAATTAAAGATTTTGTGTGTTCAATACCCTGGCTGTATAGATACCGAAGGGTCAATTTACCGAGAGGAAGCTCTACGTCTTGAAGACCCTGAGCGATGACGAAATCACTGACACATTCAGCCAGATAATCAAACAGAGGGATTGCGGAGCCGACCCTTAACTCGGATCCGATGTAGTATCGCTTTACTTCCTGTCGTATGGGAGCACCGTGAGCCAATTCCAACAGGAGTACGCGAAAGTTGGTGCCGCCAAGATCGAGTGCCAAATAAAGACCTTCCTCTGCAAGTATTCAAGTATGCATTTTAATCTCTCAATATTAAATGGTGATTAAGTTTTGCGGTTTTCTTTCCTTTTCTCTATTCTTTCAATCTTTAACTATTTAATGAAATAAAATTTCTTTTAAATCAGAAAAACTAAAAATATATTTTTCTTACGTTGATATTATAATATTAAAATATTAAAGGCAATTTTTTTATAAAATAATTTTGCATAAATCTTGCAGATATATTTCAAACATTTCACTTTCTTACTCGGCATAAAAAAATTATTAAAAATCTCATAGCGTATGAAATTTAGTAAACAAATTAAAGATTAATTATCCATAATTATATCGATACATTATAATATTTTGACTCTGTACTTTATGCCAAAATGAGATATTAATTAGACATAAATTAGTTTCGTTCTCTCTATCTCTGTCGAGAATGTCTTTGCTAAGGCTTCTGATACAGGATATAAAGAATACGATGCTATATACGCTATCTCATTGCGGGATTAAACATGGGAACTTCGCTAATGACCTGTTCCATCGAGCAGTTCCGGTATATAAGTGTTCTCCATTTGCAACGAAGAGGGTTGCTGATGGATCCCCTTATTCATTTCCGAAATAAAGACGTCTTGTATTTTCCTGGCGGTTGCCGCGGAGAATCGCATCTTCGCCGTATGATTTTCAATCTGCAAACAGAATTTTTTTCTCCTTTTAAAAAGCATGTTGCACATGACACGTGTATCTCGACGTAATTTTTATGGCAATCTTATCATTCTCGTCACCACGCGACGAGAAGAAAAACGTACGATCCGTAAATCTTGGCGATATCTCGACATACATATGTCATGGAGCTTCGAATACGATGTGTTGTTTACAACACATATCGCGTTATGTATTATTATGCAGTTTCTAACAGGATTCTAAATAGACAGATCAAAGAAATATTACTCACGTAATGCTTGTTTGTAACGTCAAGCAGTCTGAGAGTGCAGAATTAATTATATTTAATAAACAAGAGATTTTATAATACCCGAATAGATGTAATTGTTCGAGTTTTCTTCCGTGACGTGATCACTAAATTATTGTCTAATTATTGCATGTTTGCGTTTTAAGCATGTGTATAAAAAACAGTTATTTATTATTATTCATAATAATGCAATGTGGGAATTAGTATAATAAATTTGCATAAATTATTTTTCTTATATGAATTAATAGTTTTTAAAAACGCACTGTATATATTCGAATATCACGCATTTCTACTAGATTATACTGTATTTCATTTATCGATGCAAATATATGTGTAGTAAACTGTGGAAAAAATATTAAACGTAAAAAAAATACATATTCGCAAACTCTTTCGATCTACAATAATATCTTTATCGTCTAAAAAAATATGATCTTATTTTGTAAAAAAGTAAATGGTTTTTAGGCTTAACTTAGAAATATTATTATAAAATTACTTTTTTCAATCGCATTGCATTATTAACGGCTATCACTAAATTTCTCATTCTTTATCTGATGAAATAAATTTGTGATGCAAAATTAATAAAGTTTGCATCGTACAATTCTCGCTGTATGTACATTTATTTGTTTGTTTTAATATTAAAGGAGTAAGGGTTTTTCCGTAGAAACAAAAGTTGTTATGTATAAAAAGCCAAAGATCAGTTTTCTTTCCTCAATTCGATTGGTTGCCAGAGTCGATATCGTCATCTACACCGATAAACTGTTAACATGCCTTGAACTTTTAACAACACGGGATTCCCTCTCGATAACCCTGTAGTTTAGAGGGCGAGATAAAAATCGACGATTTATGACATTTAAGCCGCGATAACCCATCATCCAATTTAATCCATCTTTACTCGGACTGCGTCTCAATGCGAGGCACACGAATGTAATTGCGACCAATACATACAATATTATCCGAGTCGCAATTTTATTTCTATTTTCAAATTCAATTTCCTCACGTTTGTGGATATTAAAGGATTTCGATAGATTTAATTTATATAGAAACTCTCCTCTCTATATATATTTGATATTTTAAATGGTTGGATCTCTCTTTTCTTTTGAGAGAAACTATTTAATCTATAATTTTATCAAAAATTCCTCTTTTAAATTTTTAAATGAGAAATTAATTCGTTTATTGTTTATTTGGTACTCTACTTCAGTCCTCTTTCAAAGATTTAAAAGAGAAATTTTCGACTATAGATTAAATAGTTTCTCAGAAAAGAGAACTGTTTGCTTCAAATATTAAAATAGATGTTGGATTGTAAATCAAAAGTAAGAGAAAAATTTCGATTCGATATATACGCGGGTATATACACTCTCTTTATTGATCGAACGTAAAATTATAACGAGCTTTTTCTATCTTTTCTATTACTCCAAATTTTGGAGACGATATAATTAAAGAGAACTTGTAAAAAGAAAGTCAAAGAGAAAGACGCGCAATTAATGATTTTATATCTCTTCGACATTGTTCTGAAAAAAATTTACTATCAAGATTTATTCGATCCAATGTCCATGATAATGTCTGTCGAAAATACCAACGTGTAATCTCCCCTTATGTATTGCGTAAATATTGTGTAGCAATTCACAAATGTTATAATTCATCTCTTATAATTCACACATATTAGCCATCAGAAAAAATATGTATCCGATTTTTTCTTTTTTTTTTCAATGAAAAAATTTTCATAAGGAAAAGAATTTTTTATTACGTTCAACGATTTGTATATGATGGCATGTAGAATATCTGATACGATATCTAATCGTATACCTGGTACGATTAGCATAAATATCCGTACGTTTCGTGTCACTAAACTTTGAATTAATGTCGCAAGATTAAAGACTTCATTCTCTTTACCATTTGTATATAATTCAGAATTGAGTTGATAACAAAATGCAATAATTGAACGGTCATTTTTTTTCTTAATACGTGTCGAACATGAAAAACATACATGAAAAATCGGCAGGTGCAATAATGCTTTAACATTAGAAAACAAACTTAGGTACAATCTAAACAAGAGCAGCTTCTCTTTGCTTCATATATCTTTTTTTTAATCAAACTATTTTAAATATATTGTAAAAGGGGAAAAAAGAGAGAGAAAATCTCGTTTGTAGTTATATATGATATTGATTAATAAATCCGTATGTCTTTTATATGTCAAATATTCGTTAAAGAGAAATAAAATAATAGCTCAAAAAAGTGATTGGAAAAATTGAATTAATGATGTAAGACGTATATATTTCTCAATAAAATACTCTTTGCAAATTTTTTATTTTGTTTTCAGATAAGTAATATTTATGAAAAACAACAAACACATAATAGGAAATAATTTATTTTGGAACTTGTTTTCCAGCAAAAATTTATTTAAAAATGTATGTTCAGCATCATTTATTTACATACATGTTTATCACGCATGATTCTGATATATCAGCTTTTAACTGCATCGCACGATAAGTATAAAAGAGCAGAAGTTCAGGGTGAATAATTTATGAAATTAAGCATTTATAATATGAGAGATAGATCTTATAACAGTTATATTCATAAACATAAATGTTGAGTATATGCTTACGAATACAAAATATGTATCGGCTATAAAGTTCAAACATATATTATACTCACTTTTTGTCGTCTAACATCATCGGAAAGTATCAGCGGCGATACTTGAATCGCCTCGTGAAGCGCATGGTCCGTTGGAACGACCATGTCGAAACCTTATCGAATTTCTGAAAAAAAAAGAGGGAAAAACATTGACATGTAATCAGGAAAACGTCTATAAAATATCAAAGTTAGCTCGAAGCAGTAGCAATAGCAAAACAAGAAACATCTCGCTTTAATCATATAATTTCTACAAAATATAAATTTTTGATAAAATTAAATACGGAATAATTGGAAATTGTTTTATTTTGTTAATTAGCAATATTTATTCATTCCCTTTGCAAAATATATAAGAAAAAACTGATATAAAATAGAGAAACGTGTGTAAAGATCTATACTATTAAAAGAATAAAGCAGTATCGTCAAAGACGATATTTCATCTCAATAAAAATTTAAAGATACTTTGTGTCTCTAGTAAAATTCTACTTCAAATAAATTGATGTAGAATCGCGGCGTGTTGCATAAATGCCTATAATATACTGATTACACTAAATAAAATATTGTAGCTGATATTACATAGACATAATGTCCACTTTTTTAATTATCGTTTTCTTATTATCGCGATGATTTAGCAATACGCATCCCCGAGTCTATACGCAAGTTTTATGTATTGGCAGGGTCGGTAGACGGTCACAGCTTTATCAATACATGTGACGTATACTCGCATGATGAGGGCATCGTTATCTATCGAGTACTCTCTTCTTCCGAACAAGATTGACATTCTCTCTCTTAACACGGTTAAATCGACTTTCTTAAATAGTTTTCCTGATTACAACTTGCATTTTTTATGATTAGAATTGTGAATAATTTCTTCAGCCCACAGAAAAGTTTTTTTCATTTTACTCTTAAATAATTTAATTATCATAATTAATTTCAAATATTTCTAAAATAATCTTATAATTATAAGAGTATATGCAAAAAATAAAATTATATATCAGATAAAAAATATAAAAAATCTCTCATTTTTTAAAAATTTTTCTATTCTTCTTGTTAATTACATATTCTTAGCCACGATAAGTTTTTCGTGTAAATTGATTTACTAAAAAACTAAAATTCAAATTACTTATTATTGATGTGAACTGTTTAAAAAATAATATTATTTTACATATTATTTTTACATATTATACAATATTTTACATTTATGTTATTTTGCATATTTTGCAAAAATAGTGTGTTTTCTTAAACTATTAAATTTTTTTAATTTTAATTAATATGCATGAAAAATGTACGATTAAACTTATGTTAATAAGGTCACACAATATGCAATAATCAATTATGTTTATTCTTTCCGCTTGAAAAATTATAACGATTGGTTTAAGATATATAATTTCTGATAACACGATTTGCCATTCTCATAAATCCTATGTGTCATCTAAGATAGAATCCCCCTCGCTGTAACATATCATTGCGTATTGCTATAAATCAATTTCATGCGTTTGCGATTAATAAGAATCCGAAGAAGTGGAACGCGTTGCATCAGCGATTATGCATGGAGAAATACTTAATTAGCTAAATGTTTCGTGAACCTCGCATCACCGAATTTTAAGTATATATTAACAGTACATAGTATGATGTGAATTTGCAAGTTATTACTAAGACAGTAAAGAATTATTACAGTCTCGAATGGACCGCATTAAAATCTCGGAAAACGATAAAGCAGCATTATAATTAAAATTAATCGTGATTAGCGGCTTTTAGACGTTTCTAAAGAATGTCAAATGACAATGGAGAGAATTTAAACTAGGGGGGGATCAAATATAATATAAATGTGTATATATTTCGTTGTTAGGATAGTCTGGCTTTCAACTGGTTTACCGATAACGATTCTTAATCAAACTCGATCGTTCATTCGAATGAATGTTAATTCTGCCGGGAGCGTTTGAATATCAATTCATCGAGTAGATAACGTCGATGGTAGCGATACAAGGCTACGTTGTATATATAACAACGCATTTATCAACGGCCATTTACATATAATAGCGAGGCAATGAAAGACGAACTAGCCATCTTTTGAGTCCGTTTGGATGTTTCAGATAGCGTGTCATCTTTATGAATAATTATTCTCATTTTCATATACTTGTCTCGCTACACGCACTTCCTCAAATTTTACTCTCAAGATGATCCGGAGAAATATAGAAAAGAAATCACGGTATTTAGCCTGAATATACATTTATCGCCGTGCATGATGATGTGCGATTTTGCGAGATCAGGTAGACGAGAAACTGCAAAAAGCGAAGTTAGAATGTTCTTTCCTAGCTGCAAACTGATGGCGAATGAGGCTCCATTGAAATCAATTGGAAGGTGCAAAACGTCAACCGAGATAATTCAGCTAGTTGACCTGCCGTGACGATTTTAATCCAGAGTGCAACACGCACACTCGTTTGTCACCCTTTCGATGACGAGCCGGCTATTTTACAGAGAGATTGCGCCTTTTTTATCTCTGTAGACAGGCAATGCGCGACGCCGTTTCTTGTCACTTCGCCATCGACCATCCATCCTTCATTTATCACACTCTGCAACCATCAGCGCATCAACGATTAACGCGAATCTGACGTAAGCACAACATTGTCCGTGCCACAAGATTAATGAAGCTGCAAGGATTCCGAATAATTTAACTTGCAATTTTATCAATACCAAATGTTGCATAAAACATTTCGTGATTTAGATTATGTGGTTTTAATTCTATTTTTACACAAATTTATCTTATATATAGCTTAAAAAAAATATTTTTCAAATTATTGTTATATTAAATATCTTAGTAATTATATATATCTATCATATATATATAATATCTCTCAAATCAAAGCTATATCAATATTCATTTAAAAATTAGTTGAATAATTAAGTGCAGGAATTCAGTGCTTCTTCTTGAATTACACTTCCAAAATAAATAGCTATTTATGTGTCAAAGTATTTTTAAAAGAACAAATGTATGAATTTTTGAAAAAAAGTATCGTCACGTGCATCAAATGCGCTCATTACGAAGAGAGAAAACACCTCGTATTTGAACAGATGAATATGTAAAGAAGTTATGTCACATTCGTAGTATATCTTAGTCCTCTATAACCAAACGCGGAGTTATAGAATCAAAGAAAAAATTTTTTTTTTATAAGTAAAATTATTAATTACTTCAGTCAAAGTAAAATCAAATTCGAGAAATTTTTTTTTAATTCGAGCCTCGATGTTCCAACGAGATTTCATTGCATTTTCGAGATAAGGCGATAAAATAAAAGCAGAAAATGCAACGTATAATTTATCTTCGTTATGAAAGAGTAATACGTATGTATGTGCATACATATTCGTATTTATGTTAGTCGATATTGTACAACTCTTGAGAGATTAGGCCTGGCGTCAAGTGCACTTCGGTTATCTAATCGAGTACGCTTCCCCAAAGAGCTGCCTACCGTTTGAATAATGGAGCTTTCGTAATTCATGACTATTATCAGCTAGGGCATCGAATAAATCCCGTTGAGATGCATGAGTGTCAAACGCAAGAATGCCGCGCGGTTCGTATTCTCGAATGTTTGCCCCCTGAACGTATTTATCGCATTCGACACAGATTTAAGACCAGGTTCGAGAAATTTTGGCGAGTAACTGCAATCAAAAGAGAAATATCTTTCTAAGAGGTTCGCGACAATAATACGACAACGATAATTTTGACTAACCGCGGGTTAGCAGAGGTTTTAAATATAGAGCTCATTTTAAATAGGACACTCGTATATAAAAATAACAAGATCTAACAGTGTCTACTGAGAATGAAAATTGAGACGACAAACTCTTATAATTCTTGGAACGAGATAAAAGGCAAAGTTGCATAAATGGCATTACGTGGTGTGATAACGTACTGTCAAATGAATAGCGCAACGGATGTCACGCGAACTAACGTACAATAATTTTTATTATGATTCTTATTCATAATTGTAATTGACGCCGTAATAATATATCGTCGCCCTGAGAAACACGACGCGCGAACCGATATCATCTGTCATTCGGCGGAAACGGTTGAAATATCGCCGCTAACGATCTTACATTAATAATATGTTGTATTTAGAAATTCTCTCTCTCTCGTATGTGGAATAAAACATAGACGCGCGACGATAAAGCGGCGCGGCCAGATTGTATTTTCGATCGAGGATACTTGCGTATATCTTACGACCACGCTATCAGCTGGAAAAAACCATAACGCGCTGCCGAAGTACATAAGTTTACGTAAGTTCGCTGTTTGTGCAAAAATGCGCGCGTGAATTCATTTGCACCTCTTAAATATTCACGTGTCGTTAGAATCGCATCAACTGATGGCATAAGGGGGGTTTTCTTTTTATACAAGATGCGGCGAGTTTATCAGGAAATGCGTGAAAATTTTAAATGAAATAATTCATAATTTGATTGATTTGTTTGCAATTTTAATTGAAAATTAGATTTTAAAATATAATGAGATATATAATATACATTTGCAGTCACGATAATTCGATCTCTTGATCGATAAATATATAACGAGACAATTAAAATGCTTTCTACAAAATATTAAAATTCGAATATAATTTCATCGCAAATATCGTGGAATTTTTTGAATTTCTTCCAAGTTTCCAATCGCTTATCATAAGCATATATATACTATTCCAATCTGACAAAGAACTACTTAACGTCTGTGAGACCGATAACTAGACCCCGAGGTATATAAGCAATCTAAGAATGTTTAATCGGTAAGGAAATTTAGCGTTTATCATCCCGATAACATGTAATTACGGTTCGCGTAATAAAAAATAAAAAAACGGAAATTACATATATATGGGGAAATTTTATCGCGCGACTGCCTTCCACGACGGCGGAACGTTTCTAATGAGTGTCACGTGTTACAACACTGTATAATAGCCCGGCGAGACGAGGTATGCAACGTGTTTAATATTTCAAGGACCCACGTGCTCCTCTCACCGGCAAAGTAAACATCGCAGAAGCGGGCCCGCGTACTGACGCGGATTCGATATCTAAAATGCGATGACATCCTGATTGTTCGAGCGAGCGTCGTTGTTTACGCGAATAAGCGCCCCAAATCGGAGCGATGATAAATCTCGATCAATCAACTCGTACAACGCGATTCGCGATCTGCCTATCTCGTTGGAAAACCAAAGAAGCGTCCTTGTAATCGCCGCGATTTATCGACATAAAAAGATGCCATTACCATATCGATTTCTCTACTATATAACGACCTCGCTTAATTTTTCTAATAATCATTATTGCTAACATTATGTGGAAGAAGAAATGACTGTTACCGAATAATCTATTTTGAAAGTAATACAAGTCATTCGAGTCGAAATGTAGAATGTCTCGCTCGTAAATTAAAATTCAAATTGCTAGCTACAATGTCAAGAGCAGTACTTTGGAAGTGACCCGAATTGGAAGACCAAGTGGTTCCGCGATTCGCTAAATCAATGCACATCGTATATTATATATAGGTGCATATCTTTTTCTTCTGGCTCTAGCACAAAAGCAAAATTCAAAAAATGCAGAAAAATAAAAAGCCTGTGTATTTTTTTTAAAGAAAAGAAAATAAATATATTAAAAAAATAAATTTCTAATCAGACTTTTATTTTCTTAAATATATCTAATTACTAGAATTTTATATAAATGACGTGATTATATATCGATTTACGTTTATATCAACGAGTTTCGCATAATTGTTGAAAAAAGACAAATCATATATCATAATCGAAAGAATTCCATTAAAAAGAATCCGAGTACGACAATAGAATCATGCCACCCTTCATTATACTATATAACGCAATCGATTATCATATATATTTACTCTACAAGAGCGTTCCATCAAAATAAGCCTCTCGTAACTAAACATTTCGTATTCAACAGTCGAATATTAAGGCTTCTCGAAGAAAATTCTCGTGAGTATCGACAGGTGATGGATGATTATTTTTCTCCAATCGCAGCGAGATTTAATAGCACGTTTTTAACAGACGACAACAACTTTGATCGTGATACGGTACCTGGATCTCTCGTACACGCGCTTCCGTTGTGATGATCTCCCGAATCGATGCCAACGAAGATGACCAAAACGACGCTATGGGGCTCGGTCGATCTCCTTCGAGTAATACACACGCGGACGAGACTGCTGGAAATGTGCTCGCGACGGCCGAGCGATGACTACTGGTCGTGCCTCCCGACGAGCTCCCCCCGCGTACCACGCGATCAACCAACCGGCCGGCCCGCCACTGTCCACCACTACTAACTGAAGCACGTCACTGATATCCCGATATCGCGTAAATCGTGAGCATGCGAGAGCGAGAGGTCGTGGTGCGGGATGCGGGGCCCGTGACGTCTACGTAAACAGAAAGGCTCGCGTGCGAGTCGGTGAGTAAGATTGTATATACGGCATGATTGTTTTTATATTATTATTGTTATATAATAAACGTCGGACTCATACGGACACGTTATCGATAGATTCGGAATCTCGATTCGCGGAATCTTGATAAATACTTGATCAAATAAAATGTTATCTTTTGAAGTTAAAATCGCTTTAATTCGAAATAAAATAAAATTTATGTCAGAATATTATTAACGTGTATATTTTGACAGTTATTATGTTGTCGATATAATTCTCTAATACATCTTAAAATGTTTATAAATCAAAAATCTTTTAGAGATCAGAAACCTATAAGCCAATTTTGAAATGATTAAAAATAAATTACGCTTGATAAATTTAATGGATTGATTAAATCGGCACGCGTGTATCGACCACTGACTTTGCTTGACAAAGAATGTGGCATATAAGAGGAAACACGTGCTTTTGGTAAGTTCAAACATTAACCTTCATTCGGGCGAGCGAGAAGCGAGATTAATTGGACCTAGAAACTGTTATTACTTGTCATTATTAATGTTACGCTAATTGGTATCTAGCAATTGGAGAAGAATGTTGAAATCAACCGATAGTCATTTTTCAAAAGATACAAATTTCTAAAAGCTTCCTCGGATCATTTTCTGCGTGTAAAATTTGAAAAACAAAGTTTAAACCTTAAACGAAATATTTAATTAAGATTAAGAAAGCCGAACAAAATATTGTCGGATATATTTATGATCGCACGTGGTTTACGCACATCACATGACAGTCACATCAATCTATTTATTCTCAGCACACCAAACCTACCCACACACACACACACACACAGGCACAGACACAGACACGTGATTTTGTGCGAATCTGAATAAACGGATCCAATGTATCGATCGCCGTAGGTTTTTTCATCTTCGCTCGTTTTATCTTCAAATCCAATTTTTCACCGCACTTGTTATCTAAAATGAGAAAAATTTATTATCTCTAACAAAAAAAAATCACAATCAGTGCTTATTCCAGCAAAATATTACTGAAAATATTTACACATTGATGCGCGTAAGCAAATTAAGAAGCAGTTTAATTGGCAATATCTATAATTTCGATACAAAATAAATGTCATATTTTTTAAATATAACGATATAAAAAGTTTTAATAAATATAAATTGTTACTATATATATTACAATTTTCTCTTACAACTTTTATGAAATGTTCTTGTAAGATTTCATAAATGATTATAATGATTATATATGTATATATATAATCATTTATAAAATGTTGTAAGAATATCTGATAAAAGTTGTAAGGGAAAATTGTGTAATATGCGATCAGAATGCATGGAAATGCGTATGAAAACATACGCGTAGTATATATATATATATANNTATATATATATATAGGGTGTTAAATTTCAAACGTAACAGGCTGAATATTTCGACAACTATTGAAATATCGAGTTCCGGTTTTTTTACGCGTTCATCCAAAGTCAAATTCTTTTTATAAAAATTTGTCCGCCTCGAAACGATACAAAAATAACTGGACCTCGATATTTCATTTAGTTATAGCGAAATATTCGATCTGTTACGTTTGAAATATACCCTGTATATACGGACAAGCAATAAAGTAACATCCGTCTCGACAGACTACATAAGCTGAATGGAGTTTGATTAGAACGGCCGATGTGTGTGTTTAAATTTAGATCGTTGCAATTGCCCTAACAGGTCCGTATAAATCATTCTTCTTCAGTAAAGACCCATCTTATATCTCTAAATATGTTTCGATTGGATCGAATCGTGCTTCGTAATCGATTGGAAGAAATATGTAATATCGTACCGATAAAGTTAAATAATGTGGTATTATTTGTACTATGAGCGAGTAATAGAGTTCATTGTCTTAATATAAATGCTACAAACTTGTGTATAAAATTCATGTGTGTATGTGTAAGTTTATATAAAAATATAATTATTAAAAATATATTTTAATACCACAAATCTCTCTTTAAAGAATCATAAAGAAATAACATATATGATACATTTTGTACAAAACCTTTGTAATGACGATGATTCTATAATTCTATAATACGCAACATGCGATAAAGAGATTCTGCGAATCATGGGGCATTGACATAGGTTTAATAAGAGATGTCAAATGTGATCAACTCGTATGGTTGACCGCGCTTCGAAAATACAATGGAGAGTATTTCACGTGCCTTTCTCTCTCTCTCGCTCAGCGATTATATACATATATATATATATATATATATATATATATATATATAATGTCACAAACTTTTTTTATAAGCGCGACTTTATTACACATTCTAATAGATAGAACTGATATACAAAAACTTAACTATATATGACTGTGAGTACACTTATATCATAAACACTTAACTAATTGCTCTGCTAACATTAACAATAATATCCTGTAGTATTGTAAAAAAAAATTAAGCATATAATATACGTGCGCGCACGACACTATTATATAATTTTTTCAAAAATTACATTAAAGAAGTTACATATTGCCAAAAATACAATATATTTAAGACGCAAATAAAGTGAGAGAATATAATTGATACAATATATTTATTTTAATAAAATTGTCAATTTTTCAGGACTCGCATTTTGACATTTTTACTATTTCGAAATATATGGTTTAAATATTAACATATGTTGTTATAATATAATTTGTATATTTTGTACTATTTTCAACTAATTTTATATATATATATATATATTAAAAAACATATAAATCTATATAACAATAATGTAACCAACACGATGTTATTACTCGGGCAATAGATCATCTCCGAGTTCCTCATCACCAAAATCATCATCTCGTTTTCCGGCTGCTGTCATAGGCCTAGTAGGGAGAGGTCCTATAGGATCTGTGTAACTCGTACCTGAAAACAATCGGAAATGCAAAGAAGAAAACGAAAAGCAAGAATATTACTTTCATGATTCTAATAATATCCAAATAAATATATAAATCATAGACATATTCTTGAATAGACTTGAGATTACATACTCAATATAAATATTATATATTAGAGGATTGATACAATATGCAAATATAACACAAATATCCTAATAATGTCTATTCCTAGATTCACAGCTCGAATCAGTAATATATAACTGTTTGCCGAGTATTAAGTAATAAAGAAAGAACAAGAATAGACTAGTAAAAGTGGCTGCAGCTATCCATCATTTATTCAATCCATTAAAGTAGCTTGTATACCACCTGTAGATCACCTTTGTCGATGTTTGCTTTCAATGGAAGTGTGCATAATGCTAAAGCATTAATAATTGAATAACCATTGAATTTTCCACGTGAATCACATAATGTTACAATAATTATATGGTAAAATATTTCTCACCAGAATTATAAAACATTAAATTATTAGAGATATAAAATATGGAAATAAAATTATAATATAAAAAATATATGTAATTATAGATTTAATATATTTATACTGAAAACATATATTCTTAGAGTTCTTAAAGAACAAGATAATAAAGATATCAAATATATGAAAAGTGATTATATTTCATGAAATTTTTGATGATTCTACCTTGATAATCGTTTCGGCCTGAGATCGGTCGTCGATCCGGACTTGGCCTGTGATCTGATAGTACACTCAGTCCTGAACCTGCCCGTGATGATGTGCCACTATTGCTCTTTCTAGATCCTGCACGAAATATATGATCGAAATTTAATTATGATAAGTCAGAAAAAATAAATAATTATCGCACATACTTAACAGAAACAATAGTTAGTATTAATTTAATGATAATGAAACATAATTTATTAAATCTCGATGTTGCAAGTTATTTGTAAATTCTCTTTTTACAAAAAATCTAAAAGGATGATCCATAAAGATTCGCCTTTTTATAAAAGACAAAAACGACTGATCTTACAAAAAAGAACTGCTATATATATATGTAACAATCGTTATTACAATATTAATACTTGTTAATTAAAATATTCATACCTGTTGTACCTGGTCTTGCTGAACCTTGCCTATCTTTTAATTCTTTAGCTTTCTCAGCCTTCTTCAATTCAGCTACATACATTTGTGCTTCTTTCAAACCCATATCGCTGCACAGTCTAATCAAAAATTTTAAGCATTCTATATTATCAGGAAATTTATTGTGAATATCTTGATACTCCATGAGAGCTTTATGAAATTGTCCAGTGCGTCTTAAACATGCAGCAACTAGTAATCTCCATCTTGGTTCATCTGGCGCGAGTTCTACCGCTTTTTCAAAATAAGTCAATGCCTTTTCCGCAACCTTTTAAGAGAAAGTTAAGAAATATATGTAGAATATTTTTCATTTATTATCACAAAAGCAATATATTGTTAATAATAAAATATTTTCAATACCTGCATCGATATGAAATAGGATCCAATCCAGTCTATCACTTCAAAATTGGCAGGATAAAATCTGTGAGACTGTAATAAATATATACACAGTTAATAAATATAAATTAAAATATTGATAATATAATTATAGACAATCAAAGATAATTTATATATAATAAACAGAAATAGAAAATATACACTCACGTCGTTATAAAACTGAAATGCCTGCTGCTTATCTCCTATTGAATCATACATTTCTCCTAGTTTCTGTAAAACTCCTGGATCAGATGACAATATACCTAATAATTGATTATACCTGCAATATGTGCAAAAGGCGAGATTCATATTAATTACGTTCATAACTTAATGCAAAATTTTAATTTTTAGTAAAATAATAATAGTATATAAATATTAAAAATTAGTTACACAAAATTTAAGAAAAATATAAAGAACAATATATAATTTAATTTAACAAAATACCATTCAGATGCTTGGTCCACATCGTTCATCAGCTGATACAGATGACCAATTTGATATAACGTTTGTGGATCGTGCCTCACCATATTACGAATTTTCCAAAAACATTCTAAGGCCTCCTCGTACATGGTTTGTTTTTTATAAACTAAGGCTAAATTATATAAAGCTTGTACATGACTAGCATCCGTTTCTAATGCACATAGCAATAGCTCTCTAGCAATGTTCAATTCATCTTTTTGTATTGCACAAGCGGATAAATTAACGTAGGCTGCTGCGTTGTATGCATCAGCGTTACGTGCTGCTTCGCCATATTTTTCAGCTTGATCGTAATCTCCTTGCTAAACAATTTTTTTGTTAAATACAAGAAACAAACCGATATTTGATAGATATTTCTAAATTTTGCTCACGAGATAGTAGATGAACGAAAGCATAGTTGCTGCCGCACTGTTAGCTTTAGTGTCGCGATTTTCGAACATCTTTAATGTATCTATTGCCAGTTGCGTTTCCCTATTGTGCAAAAATACCATAGCTTTGTTTATTTCTAAATCAGCGGCTAAAACGCCATAAGCCGAGGATTTTATCGCATCGACGCACCTAAAATAGTTGCGAGAATTTATATAAAGAATTTATATATTTTATATTAAGATATTACAATGTGATATAATTTTTTAAATGTTAATAATATTATTTAAGGTATACACACCAGGCAAATCCAGCTGTAAGTGTGTCTTCAATAACGGGCGCTATAAGTTTTGCTGCGCAAAGTATACTTTTCTCAGCTTCCAATTTCATTTCCTTTTCCAATTTCGATAAATTATCATTCTTTATAACTTCATTTAATATATTAGATGTAGCATCATCCTACACAATATAAATAAGAAAATATATAAACTATATAATAAGTATACTTATATAATATTGACTAATATATGAGAGAGAGACTTATATAATTTATACATAAACAAAAGGTTATATGTTAATAAATATTTACATATAATTATCATTCAATGTTCATATACAATAAATGAATAGCATCTCAACGAAAGAAATAAAAAATATAAAAAAGGTCTAGACATTGAATACTTGATGAAAAAAGGCAATTGGTAGGAATGTGTCGTTATGTGAAATATGTGCACCTTTATAGATAATAAGTTGATACACACTGTGATACGTAGTGGTGCAGGTATTGGCAACAATTTGAGAAATACATAGCTTTAGTAAGCAGTACAATTGCGCCAAAAACTCACAGGATTTATGCTATACTTGTCTTCCTGATCTACATTAAGTTGTACTTCTAGTAATTCTAAGAAAGCTCTTTTCATCTTATCGCGATGAGATAACGCAAAATGGCACAAAACAGCATGTAAGCCCGCTTTAAACTCAGCTCTTTCTCTCATCACCCATTCAAAGCTATTAGCCGCCTCTTCTAACCGACCCATTTGCACAAATAACATTCCCATGTTATGCATAATCTTTATTCTGCGAAATATTTGCCCAGTTTATAATATTATTGATAATGGCATAAGACAATTATATTCCTTGGCAATTGTCGATTGTAAATAAATTAATGAATGTAAATTCACCTTAGATCCTTATGGACTGTCGGAGCTTGATCAAATGCCATTCTATACATTTTGATAGCTTGAGATAACTGGCCCATTTTCACATAAATATTACCAATATTGACTTTAAGTCTTGCGCTATTGCTAAACATCCTGTTCCTTGTTATCGCTTGGTAAGTCGCTATAGCCTCTGTATACATTTCATTGTTTGTGTATTGAACTGCCAAGTTAAACAGCACCTATTGGAAAAAGAATTTAAAATTTTGTAAATATATATATATATATA